AGAGAAAGTGAATGAAAGACTCAGACTGGCTCCGGTAGTCCTGCCTTTGAGCTTTAGGAAAAACGGCTGGTAAGTCACAGCTGATTTCTGCTTTCAGGAGTCCACGCGCTTTTTAAAACTCCATTTTTTAAAACTGAGTTTTTGAGACAAAACGAGGCCGTTTTCCTGCTTTAATCTGAGTTTTTGAGACAAAACAAGGCCGTTTTCCTGCTTTAAACTGAGTTTTTGAGACAAAACAAGGCCGTTTTCCTGCTTTAAACTGAGTTTTTCTGCGAGTTTGAGGCCGTTTTTCTGCTTTAAACTGAGTTTGAGCTAAAACGAGGCTACTCAGGAGTTTGGCGTTTTTTAGATCAGACCTGTGGTGTTTTCTATGGACCGTCAGAATTTAACAGTAGTGGCTGGGAATTGGTTAGAAATCCACAATTAGAGGCAATATTACATGTTAGGGTTAGGGTTAGAGTCCCGAAATAGGAGGATAGGGTTAGGGTTAGGGTTAGGGTTAGTGTCCCGAAATAGGAGGTTAGGGTTAGGGTTAGTGTCCCGAAATAGGAGGTTAGGGTTAGGGTTAGGGTTAGGGTTAGTGTCCTGAAATAGGAGTTTAGGGTTAGGGTTAGAGTCCCGAAATAGGAGGTTAGGGTTAGGGTTGGTGTCCCAAAATAGGAGGTTAGGGTTAGGGTTAGAGTCCCGAAATAGGAGGAAACGGGCAAAGAAAATAGAGGCTAGCTGAAGCCTGTGGAGTCTGAGATGTAACTCTTGGGTTTTTTACCTTGGGGTGACGTCCACTGATGGGCACATTGATTCTCTAACATCGTTTCTGATGTCTTTCCTCCTTGGCATTAACATAAAAATACCTCAGAGCAGCAAACTGAGCAAACATCTGCTTCACTGAGCCACTCAGAGTGGACTTTTTTCACATTTTTGGGTCCATTTTTGTTAGTTTTATTTGTATACAGGCCACCTCTGTCTGACAGAGTGAAAACATTTGGTTAACTTGAACTATAAAGTCCTTTTTTCGCTTAAACTTATCATATTTTCTCCTGTTCTGCTGAATATTTTTATAATCTGTCCGGTTCCATTGCACGATATTGTGTATCTTTATATTATTTACATATTGTTTTCATTTGTTTTTACTTCCTGTTTGCCTGCTTCTGTTATCTCCCAGTTTGGGAGATAGATTTTACATATTTTGGAAGCAAAATTATGTGAAAATACTTAAAAGATTGCATTTGAAAAAGAAAATTTAAGAAAAAACTTTAGATGGAAAAAAATATCCACATTATTTCTGTGTTTTTGAGCATGCAAACATAAAAGCTAAGGCACGCATTCCAAACTGATGCACACGAAGAATGTTTTTCTGGTATATCCAGTTACAGAAACTGAAAGCAGTTAAAAAAATCAAACAAAAGCAAAGGAGAAAACACCTGTTCCGAATGGGAGGTTGTTAGAAAGCAGCTGCCTCCAAAAGGCCGGCATTAAGAGTCCAGCAAAGCTCATTACTGTACGCTGTGGCTCAAAAAACCTGTTCTGTGAGCTGCAAATCATGCAAAACCTGCAGAAATACGTTTGGGAAGAAATGAGGAAGAGGCTTTTTAGGGAATTCCTGCTGCTGCACGGTGGAAATTTCCTCATCCCTGAGCAGATGTAAAAATCAAGCTAGGTTTTTATGGGATTATGTCAAATATGTGGGAAATGTCCTCATGCATGCATACTGTCTTTGTTTAAATTACATCTGAAATCACCCAGTTTAACATTAAAAAAATCAAGCTAGGTTTGAGGGATTAGGTCAAATAATAATGTTAAATCAGGAGGTTAAACTTTTGCCAAAGCAGCTGTCCTCCAGTAGTCTTCTTCTTTAAATCTAGACAGTGCAAACCAGGCTTTAACCCTATATTGGCAAATATATCATATTTGATACGGTTTCTGAAGTCTTTTGGATCTGAGACTTTTTGCATCATTCAGTGGTAAAAGCTTTGCTCAAACCCCTGTTGTACACATTCA